GAAACCCGGCCCTAAAAGCCTTGACAAGAATACCGAAATTCCAAGAGATCAAGTTGAATGTGATCTTACATTGTTAGGATTAGCTGGTTTATATGATCCTCCGAGATTGGAGACCAAGGATGCTGTCAAAGGTATGTGCCGACCGTCTTACTCTTGTGATCGCACACAGGCTTCAATATGCTAACCACTTTCTAAAATATAGAATGTACCATGGCCGGAATTCGTGTCCATATGTTGACTGGTGACCACCCTTCCACCGCAACCGCCATAGCAAAGGAAGTAGGAATCATTCCACGCAACACTGGCACCTTATCTGCAGCAGAATCGGCATCTTTGGTCAAAACTGCCGCTGAGTTCGACGGAATGACCGACCAAGAGATTGACGCCCTGCCTTCCCTACCACTTGTGATTGCCCGATGCGCCCCTGACACAAAGACTCGAATGATCGCTGCGCTCCACCGCCGCGGCAGATACTGCGCCATGACAGGAGACGGAGTCAACGATGCACCCTCCCTTCAGGCTGCGGATGTTGGAATTGCCATGGGTATGGGAGGCTCAGATGTTGCAAAATCGGCATCTGACATTGTGCTTACCGATGACAACTTTGCTAGTATTGTCAATGCCATCGAGGAAGGACGACGCATGTTTGAAAATATCCAAAAGTTCATTCTGCATCTTCTAACGTCGAACATTGGTGAGGTAGTTCTTCTGATTATGGGCCTTGGATTCAAGGATCAAAAGGGGTTTTCTGTCTTCCCACTTTCACCACTGCAAATCCTATGGATCAACATGTTGACCTCCTCATTCCCTGCCTTCGGACTAGGCCGTGAAAAGGTTTCCGCCGCAGTCATGCATCGTCCTCCACATGATACCAAGAAGGGTGTATTTACCTGGCAGATTGTGGTTGATATGATGGTCTACGGCATCATCATGGGAGCTTGTACATTGCTTACCTTCGTGATAGTGGTCTACGGCGTTGGAAACGGCATGGAAGATCTGGGAATTGATTGTAACCATGCCGCCAGCGATAGCTGCAATGTTGTTTTCCGTGCCAGAGCAGTGGTTTTCGCTGAGCTGACTTGGCTTATTCTCATCTCAGCATGGGAATTCAAACACCTTCGTAACAGCATGTTCAACCTTGAACCATACCGTGACCACAGCGACGACACTGTTCCTTTCTTCCCCTTCTTCCACGATATTTGGGAGAATCAATTTCTCTTCTGGGCTGTTGTTATCGGAGCCCTCTCGGTTTTCCCAGCTGTCTACATCCCGGGACTGAACACCAAGGTTTTCAAACACCAAGGTATCACTTGGGAATGGGGTCTTGCTTTTGGATCAGTGGTGATATTTGTTCTTGGTATCGAGGCCTGGAAGTTTGTCAAACGACGCACTGGATGGTTTGCAGAGGGCGAAGATTATGGTGGTGTCGCAGCCACCGGCTTCCGCAGAAGATGGCCAAGCCACGAACTTGGTCTTCGTCAAGGCTTCTTCACCTTTGCCAAATCTCTTACCAAGGGCAGTGAAAGGAGTATTCCTGTGGGTCCAGAAAGTGGAAGGTCAAGTGTTATGGGCAGAGATAATCACCGTCGTCTTGATGATGGCGGAAGAGCGAAGGAAACAGTTTGAGTTTGGCAGCTTTTCTTTTGTTACAAAAAGAATTTAACTCGTATAACTACAAGGGAGGCCTGGTGATTCAGGAAGAAAGACTGGGTGGTATAGATATGATGAAGATATGATTTGTGGCCCTATCTGACGATATATCAAATGTGAGTAATGATCAATGCGCAAAGCAAGGGAAAAAGGCCGAGTTGAGCTTTGCCTGAATATATAGTTATGAGTTAATATTCCTCCGAGTTCGAATTTTATCAAGACTTTTATCTTCGATTTCCGACTGCTTAAACGTCCGCTGAGTTTATATCGTCTGTAATGTTATATATTTTGAAATTATTAATAAGAAGAGTATCATAATTATAGTGACTAGATTATTACACAGCACAGGAGCGAAATGTCCAATATATGTTGGAATATGTGCCGTCCAGGCAGAGGTATAGTACATCGTTTTCAGGGGGAGCCACAGTTGGAAATATTGACATCAATAGGAGAGAATCTTTGCTTTTGCTTCTACTGTCCATGCCGAACTAATTCGTGGATTCCGGCTTTTTGGTGTATATTCTCTAGCCCAATTGATCACGCGGGATAAATAGGATCCTGATAGCAGCGATTTCCGTATTCCCCGCATAGATGCGATTATACCAAAGGTCCAAGTCCCAGTCAATCCATTCTGAGATCGCAAGGCAAACATCACCTACCTCACGCTTCATCCATCGAGCCACAGGGATTTCACACCATTCAGGGCCATCATGAAGCAAATAGCATACCCCAAAGTCCACTAGAACGATTGGTCGAGTACGCTGAGCACATCTAGAGTTGTAGTTGATTATAATATCATCATGACGGTAGAAACCACCCTTAAATCCATGTTTATACATCGTAAGCTCGGTATCTATTATGATCTTCAAAAGTCTTTGACGTTCCTGCTGAGAAAAGTCTCCGGCCCCATGTGATTTTATTGACCGTCCAGGAATATATTCTAGGAGAATCAACCGAACAAGACGATTCGTATCATGGCCGGGAACAGGTAATTCCAGGGTGAATGACCCGTAGAACTTGGGTATGCATTTTCCCTGCAGGGGCTCCAATTGTTTATACACTGCAACTTCATGCGAGTAATCGTAATCACAGCAGTAAAATCTGTCGTATATGTATGAATCATGGTCGTTGTAAAGAGGATCGTAGAATTTTGCAAATAGAGTCATATTTTTTTGTGGCCCTTTGTTCTTGGTTGGCTGAACATTCAAGATATCGACAAGCCCTACCTGTGACTTCCGATTATCTCGAAATCGAATTTCCCTGGATATTTTCAAATGGATGATCTGGTTTCCAACGTGACCCGGAGATGGAGGATGTAACAGACAGCGTTCAGCAGGATGTTTCTGTTGTCTCTCAAAGCGCTTACTGAGCTCAATAACAGGGAGGCCACCAGGTGGAGCTGGAATCGGAGGTGGAGCAGTATGAGAGCGAACAGTAAACTCTTGTCCTGAAAAGTAAGGTAATGGAGGTTTACTGACTCGATTAAGAGTACAATAACTGTCCCTTAATTGAGAACAAAGGATTCCAGGGCTCACCACAACTACGTCTTCGTCCATCTTATAACCCGCCAAAATCCCGTGGCACTTTGTTCGGAGATAATATCAAAAAAAAAAGACTGAGCCAAAAGAGTGAGCCAACACTAGTAGCTAGCAGATTGAAGCCGTATATTGAACGAATAACTTCAACCTGGATCACCGATGATCGGTGGCATATTTGAAGATGTTGGGCGTGGCGTCGGGTGCTGACCAATAGAAGCTCACTCAATCCCTTATTCGAAAGTGACGTCAAATCCAGCCTATTACAATCGAGTAACTTCTGCTTATATAATTATTTAAAGTTAATTTTGGGCTAAACGCGGCAACGCCAAATTTGTGGACCTTCGGAGAGCCGCATTAGACGCCATAAGCGCATTTAGTCTCAACTCCCCATAGCCGTTTTCATAGTTGAAATTAGGCGGAGAATGCTTAGCTGAGATGGAATCATATTTTCGCAGTTAATTCGTATTTGGATATAGTGGCAGCAAGGATCCGAAGTGGAATATGTTACCTCCCAAAGCAATTGGGTGTAGATGTGTTTCGGTTACAGACATCAAACTAGCAAGGCCATGCGGAAGAGAATGAAAGACTCTCTTTCGATCACCAGGGTGGTGAGACCATTGAAGTGGCAACTACAGAAGGGGTAGTAACATGTATGACAGAAATTATCTTTGCCTCTTTCAATTCATGACTTATTCTAATCTATATCCTTCTTTACCCCCTTCACATTCGTTTGTTGAGCTCTACACCGCTTGTGCACATACTGGAGTCTGCTGCAACCACGTCTCTCAATCATCGGGTATTAGTGCATGTTTGTATTTAAAAGGGAGCCTACATCAATGAAGCTATCACCCGATTCTTTGAACCCTACATGTCTGTGTTTGCTCTAGGAAAGCAGGTTGCATTGAAAGTAAAGCAGGAAGTAGATACCCGTCTCTATTCACCACTGTAGACCATTCACACTACACCGAAATATGAAACATTCACCAGTATGATTCACTGCCATAGGTCTATTTAAGAGGCAAACTCGCCTACTGCTTAATCCTGAAACTGGATATCAGTTCCAATTCCATGCTCACCCAACACACACTCTCTCCATATTGACTAAAAGCTCACTTTCCTCACAACACTTGAACAAAAATGCCGGCAAGAACATTGAAGCAAACTTTTTATGAAAACCTCACGGTTTACCCCGAAGCCAGGGTACCTAACAACTATCGCTCACTCGGGCCACCAGCCGACGAACAGGTTAAATGTATAATCGTGATTCCAGATCCATTGATAACGCTAGCCCATAGTTACTTATCTCGCATCACGGCCTCTCCTAAAACAGCGCTCGACTCCCTAGCACTCCCAATTGACGATACAATCAACTTTCAGACGGAAGCCGACGTGCTCAGGGCAAGCTGCCTTGAGCTGCTGTACCCCATAAACAAGGCCCTTACAGAGGGTCTCGGAAAGGGGAGCGGGTATTTTGTGGTGGAGAGCGCAAAATGAATACTAGCCGCGTTGACCTGAGATGGTCATACCAAGCAAATGAGAACGCCGAATCCCACGTCTTTGCGATTCTGGAATTCAAAAATACCAGAACTATTCACCCAAGGGAGTTTCGGCCTGCAAATTCGGAGGGTGATGAAATCGAGCGTAAATTGTATACGCAGATGAGACACAATGCAACGAAGATAACGGAACAAATCATGAAGTATCTCGATGATTCGGACGCTCCGTTCCTGGCCGTGTTCGACTGGAACACTATGGGAATCTTCGACTTCACGGAGTATAGACCTCAATCCTGGACACCTGGCAATCCAACCTTTACCTCAATGAGAGAGACCGAATTTGGGCCCCATGTCCATGAAACGCATCGATTCCTGCTGCTGGGATTTCTGTTGAAAGCCCTAGAGTGGCAGAGGGCGCGGTAGCTGCTAAACTGGCATTGGCAGGATCAGCAGAAGTCAGAAATTGCGGTTCCTTTTTCTTTCCTTTGTATTTTCCTTTGTTCCTCTCTCTCTCTCTTCGTTTTCTAGCTTGTTTTAGACTGTTTTGTTGCTTCTTGAGATTGAATGACATGCTGGGTAGTTGGCCGGCAAGGAGGTTGATAGAAATAGAACTCATTTACTAGAGATTAAACTCGTTAACTAGTTAGTTCGTCCTCCATGTTTGCACTGTTTGCATCCTAGCAAGAAATCCAAGTTGAGAATATCGAAACATCCAAGATAAATAAATAACCAGCTACAACTAGCTGACTGTCTCCCAACCCTCCTGTTAAGTTAAACGAGAGACGAGACGGCGGTCCTAGAGCTCTGCTGGCCGATCTGATACCATTGTCTGCCAATCAACTGGTTAGTTACATCCGATGCAACAGCTATAACCGGCCGACTCCAACACACAACTGCCCACAGCAGCACCAGCGGCATCACACGTCGACGCAGCGTGTACAGCCCAGCATGGCTCAATGCAGACCATACGGCTGTCTGCGACGATGCATGTCTCTATCTGACGCTCTCCCGCCTCGCACGAGCCCCAATGGCTTGCTCCCAGCCATACACAGCCAACGACGGAAACACTCAACTACACCTCCTCCTCCTCCTCCACCACCGCACTCTTCTTCTTCTTCTTCCTCCTCCTCCTCGGTATCTTCAGCGGAAATGACACATTTCGCGAGTCTGGCGAGTACATGGTGGGACCCGCTTGGTCCTTCACGCATATTACATCTGATGAACCCGCTGCGACATGACTTCATCGCCTCGTGCGTTGGCCAGCAGCAGCGGCAGCAACAACAACAGCAGCAGCAACAAGCCCATGACCAGGACCAAGACCAGAAGGGCGGCGGCGGACTACGTTATTTAGACGTTGGTTGTGGAGGAGGGATATTCGCCGAGTCCCTTGCCAGGACGATACGCACGCCCGGAACAAGTACCAACGCATGCTCTCTTCTCGCTATCGATCCGTCACCGGTAATGATTGAACTAGCCCTCTCACACGCCAGGAAGGATCCAACGCTGCACCAACATCTTCGCACCGGCGCATTCGAGTACCGCAATACCTCGCTGGAGGACCTCACGGATTCGGCTTCGGCTTCGACGGCAGGGAAATTCGATGTAGTTACGCTGTTCGAGGTGCTGGAGCATGTTGATCCGGACCACTCGTCGCCGCGGGCGTTTGTGCAGCGGTGTCTTGATCTGGTGGCGCCGGGCGGGTGGCTTGTTGGCTCGACGATTGCGCGAACGATGCCTGCGTATGTGGTGAATCAGGTCATTGCCGAAGCGCCCTGGCCGATCGGGGTGGTGCCGCGGGGCACGCATGAATGGAGCAAGTTTGTGAATCCCGAGGAGCTGCGAGGGTGGGTGGAAAGGGAGGGTGAGGGTGAGGGTGGTGGTGTTGAGTGGAGGTGTGTAGGGGCGATGTATGCGCCTGGGCTGGGATGGCGGATGGTTCCTGGGGCGGAGTCGTGGGGGAATTATTTCTGGGGGATCAGGCGGGGAGGAAAGCAGGATTAATATTAAGATGATGCATGCATGCATGCAAGATGTATAGTAGATGTATTATTAGTCGGGAAGTTGGTAGCTGAGCTTGGATGGATTGTAGAGGATCTTCATTAACTATAATATATAAATAAAGGACTAGATGATAGAGAGGTGCGCAAACGAAGCAGACAGCCGACTGAAAAAGGAACATACAATGTAGCAGTATCAAGAGTAACGGTTAAAATGTAAGTTAAACGACGATGCCACTGCTCCAGCTCCGGCTCCTGCTTAACGTAATGTGATAATGCCGATGAGAAAAGCAGCTGAAAAACTCGTAGATGGGAAAAATGGACGGATGTAAGATGAGAGCCGTTGGACAGATAGGAAAGACATCAACACACAAGACGCAGAGGTTAAGGAAATTAAGGAAATATAAAATAGATGGGAAATAGATAAGACATAGGAAAGAAAGGAAATATGAGAAACAGGAAAAATAGTAGGAAATAGGAATAGATGGGTAGGAGATGGGGGGGATGCTATTATGAGGATTTTTTTAGTGGTAGGGGAAGGGGGGAGGGGAATGCGCTCAGTGAAGAGCAGAGGGTATCTCTATAGGCCGGGGGGATTGACATAGGGAATTAAGATAAGGAAATAAGAGAAAAAAGTCTGCTAATAATACTGTCACGGAAACAAGGGTTGAATTCGCTTCGACTGTTTTTGACGTCGTTGCGGAGGGGCGGGTGTTAGAGCTCGAGCTTCGGTTTCAGCTCGTAGTTCTCTGGCTCGGACGATTGAGGTCGTCGCGGGAAGAACATGTGCGGCGTTATGCTGCCGGGATATTGATGGTTTGAGGGTTCAGGGTAAGGATATTCCGGGGCAGAGGCAGAGCTGGGAGAAGGCATGCTGCTTAGAGTCGGGGACGCCCAGCCGACAGAGGACAGATGGGGACTGCCGGCGACGCTATTTGGTCTGGGGTCGCTGTTTGCAGGCGGTTCGAGGGGTTGTGGGGGAGCGTAGCCTGACGGGTGCGAGGTGAGGGACGGTCTGTTGTGGTTGTGGTGGTGGTGGAAGGAGGCGGGACCGGAGAGGCTGGTGAGGGTTGGCGAAGGGGAAGTGGGCGAGGCGCGAGGACTGGAGTTTGCAAAGTCCGTTCTGAGATGGGGCGGGAGAGAGGTGTAGTAGTCTGCAGCACCACCGGCGGAAGTAGGGCCACCAGCCGCTGGTGGGCGGGAGGAGAGGTTTAGGGGCGGGAGGAGAGGTTTAGGGGCGGGAGCTCGTTGCCCGGGGAGAGAGAAGGGCGCTGGGCGGGCGAGGGAGTAGAGTGAGCGGAGCCCGGTTCGGAGTACTCTGAGGGTCTGCTGGTGGTGGAGCGGTCTTTGCTGTGACGGAGGTTTGCTTCTGTCTCAGCAGCGGCCTCTTCGATGGTGCCGGTGTGGTGGTTCTGGTGGCGGGTGAGGGTGGTGCGGCGAGTGAAGGTCTTTTGGCAGTTGGCGTAGGGACACTTGTATGGCCGCTTGCCGGAGTGGATTCTGCGGTGTCTGGCGAGCGAGGAGGAGTCGCTAAAGGGCTTGCCGCAGCGATCACACATGTGAGGCTTCTCGCCGGTGTGGACGCGGGTGTGGACGGTCAGGGCAGAACGCTGAATGAACTGTTTACCGCAGCCGGGCCAGTCACACGCGTGCGGTCGAATCCCACTATGAATGCGCTCTATTGACGTTAGTAACTTATATATAAAAGATATAAGAGAGTAGATGGGTAAGTCTTACCGTGCCTGGCGAGGTCGCTTCTCCTGGCGAATCCCTTGCTGCAGGTCTGGCAGTGAAAGGTCTTGAGGGCGGGCAGGCCAGTCGGTCTCATGCTGGTGGTACTCCTGCCGTAGTCTGAGCCATGCGCGCTGTGAGCGTAGCCCGGAGAGGTGCTGGCGTGGTTAGCCTGAGCCTGGACGTGGTACTGGGCGAGGTGGGCCATCTGCGGCAGCGACTGGGTGGACGAGGGGAAGCTGGAGGTCGGCTGGTGGTGGTGGTGATGGTGGTGGTGTTCGCTGGGGGGCGCAGAGGCAGAGCGGTGGTGCTCTGAGGCGCCGAGCTCCGAGGGCGACCTGGACTTTACGGCATCGTCTGTCTGCGACTGGGCGGTGGCCTGGGCGAGGTGCTGCTGGAGCTGGTGGACGTCTGCGGCGACGATGGAGACGGAGGCCTTTTTGTTTAGTATAGTGGTTATATCCATGATGTGGCCACTACCCAGGGGTAGAAGTCGGTCGAGAGGCGTAGGCTCCCGGATCATATACTAATCAGTCAAGTCAGTCAACGATATCTTCAAATAGATATTATAATGCAAAGAGAGAATGGTGTACCTTGATATGGTTGGACAATGTCTTGTTGGAGCGGCCAGATGCAGAGCCCTAGACACAAGCGATGGCAGTCGATGCTATTCCTGTCTCTGGCAAGGTCTGACGGTAGCGGATGCAGTGCAATGCCGCGAGCACGAGTCAGGCAGCGTCCTTATTTCCTGCTGGCAGCGGACGACGGCTGGCTGCGTCCAGAGGCGTCAAGGTCAAGGGGTCGCCCGGCCGACTGCAGGCAGAGAGATGTGTTGATGCAGTGTAAATAAGTAATGAGTAACAAGGTGAAGTCGAATGAGAGAGATCCGCCCGTCTAGCCTCTATCCTCGTGAGTCGTGGGTCGTCAATGCACAATGCAGCCGGAGCCAGTCTATATAGGAGTATACAAGAGCGTATAAGAGTGTATCGAGTGTATAGGAAGTGTTATAAGAGCGGTCGTGATGGTCGTGGTCGTGTCTTCGTGTGGGCGGTTTTTTTGTTTAGTGGGGAGGAAGAAGCCGAAGTCGGTGGCGAGAGACTAGAGGCGTCAGTAAGCAACAGTGAGTAGACAGGCAGAGACGCAGAAGCAGTGATAGATCTTGAATTGTGAAGTTGTAGCTGTAGCTGTAGTTGTAGCTGTAGTTGCTGGTGATGGTGATGGCGATGTTGCTGGTGGTGATGTTATTCTGGTGATGCTGAGGTCGAGTCCAACGTCACAGCAGCAGCAACAATAACAACAGCAACAGTGAGAGTAACAAGAGTAGAGACGGCGCTGTCTGTCTGTCTCCGCCGTCCAGCAGTGAAGAGAAGAAGCAGAGCAGGAAGAAGAGAAATAGCCAGAGACGCCGCGAAAGACGGTGAGACCGCGCAGAGAATAACAACCGCAGGAATGACAATAATAGGAAAAGAAAGAGACTAACCAGGAGATAGAAGAACCTCGCCGTCGAGAGAGAGAGGGAGATAGAGAGAGAGACTGACTGACTGAGTCCTTGAAGGTGAAGTCGAAGTCGAAGTCGAAGTCGAAGTCGAGGTTGAGAAAGAAAAGAAAAGCGACGCAGAGACGAGGATGCTTAATAAAAGAGGCCGGCAGAGAAGAAGACGAAGACGAAGATCAGCCAGCCAGGCAGGATGATAGAAGCCACGAAGAAGAAGAATCGAAGACGGAGAAGAAGAAGAAGACGAAGAAGAAGAAGAAGAAGACGACGAAGAAGAGATCAAGTTTGGGCCTTGGTTATCAGTGCTTTTTCTTCGTCTTTTTCTTTGCTTCTTCGGGCGTTGCTTTTTCCTCGTCGTCTTCGAGAGAGAAGAAGCAAAAGAGAAGCCAGAGAAGAAGAAGAATTAAGCCCAGGCTAAGACCTTCGAGAAGACGAGAGAAGGCGATGAAACGCGGTGGATTGAGGGATCCTTGCTGTCACTAACTCACTAACTCAACTACTAAGTCACTAAGGAATGATAAGGGGAAGAGTTCTTCTGGTCTTCTAGAAAAGAAAAAGGAGGAGGAAAAAGCAAGCTGAGGACGATGATGGATGGGGATGGGATGGTTGGGATGCGATGGAGATGCATGATGGAGATGATGCACGATGGAGAGAGGACGGTGCGATGGCCATGCCGTATTACTGACTTTGATCTACTGGACTGGGTAGAGGTACATAGGTACGGAGTAGATACTCGATGGTAGATGGTAGAGTAC